TAAAATATCCCCAATTAAAATTTGGATAAAAACAGTAAAATATCCCCAATTAAAATTTGGATAAAAACAAATAAAATACTTTTTACAATTAAAAGCATGTTACAGAGCTTCACATGCAGGCTGAACCACCTCACTCTCAGTTTGTTCCAGTAAAAACAATAAAATATCCCCAATTAAAATTTGGATAAAAACAGTAAAATATCCCCAATTAAAATTTGGATAAAAACAGTAAAATATCCCCAATTAAAATTTGGATAAAAACAGTAAAATATCCCCAATTAAAATTTGGATAAAAACAGTAAAATATCCCCAATTAAAATTTGGATAAAAACAGTAAAATATCCCCAATTAAAATTTGGATAAAAACAAATAAAATACTTTTTACAATTAAAAGCCACCTCACTCTCAGTTTGTTCCAGTAAAAACAATAAAATATTGCCAATTAAAATTTGGATAAAAACAATAAAATATCCCCAATTAAAATTTGGATAAAAACAATAAAATATCCCCAATTAAAATTTGGATAAAAACAGTAAAATATCCCCAATTAAAATTTGGATAAAAACAGTAAAATATCCCCAATTAAAATTTGGATAAAAACAAATAAAATACTTTTTACAATTAAAAGCATGTTACAGAGCTTCACATGCAGGCTGAGCCACCTCACTCTCAGTTTGTTCCTGTAAAAACAATAAAATTTCCCAATTAAAATTTGGATAAAAACAGTAAAATATCCCCAATTAAAATTTGGATAAAAACAATAAAATATCCCCAATTAAAATTTGGATAAAAACAGTAAAATATCCCCAATTAAAATTTGGATAAAAACAGTAAAATATTCCCAATTAAAATTTGGATAAAAACAGTAAAATATTCCCAATTAAAATTTGGATAAAAACAGTAAAATATCCCCAATTAAAATTTGGATAAAAACAGTAAAATATCCCCAATTAAAATTTGGATAAAAACAGTAAAATATCCCCAATTAAAATTTGGATAAAGACAAATAAAATACTTTTTACAATTAAAAGCATGTTACAGAGCTTCACATGCAGGCTGAGCCACCTCACTCTCAGTTTGTTCCAGTAAAAACAATAAAATATCCCCAATTAAAATTTGGATAAAAACAGTAAAATATCCCCAATTAAAATTTGGATAAAAACAGTAAAATATCCCCAATTAAAATTTGGATAAAAACAGTAAAATATCCCCAATTAAAATTTGGATAAAAACAGTAAAATATTCCCAATTAAAATTTGGATAAAAACAGTAAAATATTCCCAATTAAAATTTGGATAAAAACAGTAAAATATCCCCAATTAAAATTTGGATAAAAACAGTAAAATATCCCCAATTAAAATTTGGATAAAAACAGTAAAATATCCCCAATTAAAATTTGGATAAAAACAGTAAAATATCCCCAATTAAAATTTGGATAAAAACAAATAAAATACTTTTTACAATTAAAAGCATGTTACAGAGCTTCACATGCAGGCTGAGCCACCTCACTCTCAGTTTGTTCCAGTAATAACAATAAAATATCCCCAATTAAAATTTGGATAAAAACAGTAAAATATCCCCAATTAAAATTTGGATAAAAACAGTAAAATATCCCCAATTAAAATTTGGATAAAAACAGTAAAATATCCCCAATTAAAATTTGGATAAAAACAGTAAATTATTCCCAATTAAAATTTGGATAAAAACAGTAAAATATCCCCAATTAAAATTTGGATAAAAACAGTAAAATATCCCCAATTAAAATTTGGATAAAAACAGTAAAATATCCCCAATTAAAATTTGGATAAAAACAGTAAAATATCCCCAATTAAAATTTGGAATTTGGATAAAAACAGTAAAATATTCCCAATTAAAATTTGGATAAAAACAGTAAAATATTCCCAATTAAAATTTGGATAAAAACAGTAAAATATCCCCAATTAAAATTTGGATAAAAACAGTAAAATATCCCCAATTAAAATTTGGATAAAAACAGTAAAATATCCCCAATTAAAATTTGGATAAAAACAGTAAAATATCCCCAATTAAAATTTGGATAAAAACAAATAAAATACTTTTTACAATTAAAAGCATGTTACAGAGCTTCACATGCAGGCTGAGCCACCTCACTCTCAGTTTGTTCCAGTAATAACAATAAAATATCCCCAATTAAAATTTGGATAAAAACAGTAAAATATCCCCAATTAAAATTTGGATAAAAACAGTAAAATATTCCCAATTAAAATTTGGATAAAAACAGTAAAATATCCCCAATTAAAATTTGGATAAAAACAGTAAAATATCCCCAATTAAAATTTGGATAAAAACAGTAAAATATCCCCAATTAAAATTTGGATAAAAACAGTAAAATATCCCCAATTAAAATTTGGATAAAAACAGTAAAATATCCCCAATTAAAATTTGGATAAAAACAGTAAAATATTCCCAATTAAAATTTGGATAAAAACAGTAAAATATCCCCAATTAAAATTTGGATAAAAACAGTAAAATATCCCCAATTAAAATTTGGATAAAAACAAATAAAATACTTTTTACAATTAAAAGCATGTTACAGAGCTTCACATGCAGGCTGAGCCACCTCACTCTCAGTTTGTTCCAGTAAAAACAATAAAATATCCCCAATTAAAATTTGGATAAAAACAGTAAAATATCCCCAATTAAAATTTGGATAAAAACAGTAAAATATCCCCAATTAAAATTTGGATAAAAACAAATAAAATACTTAAAAGCATGCTACAGAGCTTCACATGCAGACTGAGCCACCTCACTCTCAGTTGGTGCAAAAAATATTTTGACTGAGCCATCGCACATCAGTCAAACTGAGCCACCTCACTCTCAGTTTAACGTACTAGTAAGAATGGATACTTGATACGTATACGGGGGACGTTCCTATACCTAAAAGGGAGGTATAGTATCTGTGAACCCCAAACACAGAGCGCGGCTTAACTTCGTCATACGTATACACAAGTATCCAATGCTAACTGATACATAACGTTGTCATGTTTTTCATGTCAGTCACTGAAAATAATTTTTAAATGTTACAACTGAAATAAAAACAAAAACCTTGATTCCAAGTTGCCTGTGGTAGGAAGTGAAATAATATCAAAAACCTTGATCCCAAGTTGCCTGTGTTAAGAAGTGAAATAACTTCTCTGTAAAATATATCTAGTTTTGAAATTCTTGATAAGGATTGAAGAACATGTGGCATTCCGGTAAACACAGTGTGACAGCAACTCAACTATAAAGTAAAACCAGAAAGATATGAAAATGTAAAAAGTTGAGGTCTGGAGCTGGCATGTCCGTAACTGCTAGTAGTCTGTTGTTATTTTGTTTATTTTCTTTTGTTTCATATTCTGACATCGAACTCAGACAACTCTTAAACTGAGTTTCACTGTGCGTATTTTTGTGCGATTTTTTTTTCTACATTGGCTAGAGGTATAAGGGGAGAGTTGAGATCTCAAAAAAACATGTTTAACCCCGCCACAATTTTGTGCCTGTCCCAAGTCAGGAGCTCTGGCCTTTGTTACTCTTGTATGATTTTCAATTGTAGTTTCTTGTGTATAATTAGTTTAGTATGATGTCCATTATCACTGAACTAGTATATATGTTTAGGGGCCAGCTGAAGGACGCATTAGGGTGCGGGAGTTTCTAGCTGCATTCAAAACCTATAAGGGGCCTTCAGCTGTTGTCTGCTCTATGGTCGAGTTGTTGTCTCTTTGACACATTCCCCATTTCCTTTCTCAATTTTAGTCTTTAATCATTACTTTTTCAAATTATGACTTGGATTTAGAGTTGCCTCATTGGCACTCATACCACATATTCTTATATCTATTTAACAATGACTTGTTCTTAGGTGGAAAGTCTTTTTACTATTTATTCGAATTTCAAGATATCTCATATAATATATAAGATATGTTATATAATATATGATATCTAATATATGATATCTTATTTAATGTATAAGATATCTTATTTAATATACAAGATAGCTTATAATTCCGTTTTTATACAATATCTTATATATCAAATGAGATATCTTATATATTATATAAGCTAAAGATATCTTATATATAATATAAGATATCTCATAAAGTATAGAAGATATATTACATACTTTATAAGATATCTTCTAAATTTTATAAGATATCTCATATAGTTTAAAAGATATTTCATAAATTTTATGAGATATCTTAAAAACTATACGAGATATCTTATAAACTATATAAGATATCTTATATAATATGTGAGATATCTTATAAAATTATATGAGATATCTTATATAGTTAATGAGATATCTTATATAGTTTATAAGATATCTTATATAGTTTATTTGATATCTTATATAGTTTATAAGATATCATTGGCATTTAAGGATAGTTACTCTCATTGGCAACCCTTCAATATATCCTTATTATTTATTTGGTTGAGAGATAAATGTAGTTTCCTGTGTGTATAACTGTGCATTGAGTTGCACTTTCAGGCTAAAAATAGACTTGATAAATTTCTGGCAGCACATCTTATATATCAAATGAGATATCTTATATAGTTTATAAGATATCTTATATAGTTTATAAGATATCATTGGTATTTAAGGATAGTTACTCTCATTGGCAACCCTTCAATATATCCTTATTTTTTATATGGTTGAGAGATAAATGTAGTTTCCTGTGTGTATAACTGTGCATTGAGTTGCACTTTCAGGCTAAAAATAGACTTAATAAATTTCTGGCAGCACATCTATCAAGAATTAGCATATGACAATTTATTCTGTTATAAGTTTCAAGAAAGAAAATAAAAATTTGTCTATCTTTTATGTTGTTTTTGTTTATTCTAAACATATAAAACATTTTCATAATTCATTTAAATGCAAAAATTCTTCAATTCATACCAAGAATGTACCGTTTTAAACAAATTCTACTGAAATCTGAAGAATACCGTACAAGTTCTTCAAGTCTTTAATAGCATACAAATGTTTATCTGCCTTGTAAGCGTTCATATGAAAAATACCACATTTAGGTCATACAAATGCTAGTCCAGAATACATCCATGTAGTCTTTGAATTATTTGATTATTGTCTCATTTCTGTTAAGGATTCACTTCTAATACAATTGACCTTATTCAAAGATGACGTGTTGACAACTCCTCTTCAACCAAATTGCTTGTTTTGAACTTCTCTCAACATACTGAAAAGTAAAAATAACATTTATTATCCCTGAAGTATGCATGTTTAAGTTTAATCAGCCATTCATATGTAAAGTTTAGTTAAATCAATTTTGAATAATTGGTAAATGATTATAAAAAAGATGTGGAATGATTGCCAATGAGACAAATCTCAACAAGAGACCAAATGGCACAGAAATTAACTACTTTAAGTCACAGAACATGGTCATAGATAAAAGGCTCCAAAATTACCATAGTAAAATAATTCAAACAAGAAAACTAATGGCCTGATATAAGTACCAAACTAGAGGCTCTAAAGAGCCTGTGTGGTGCTCACCTTGGTCTATGTTCATACTAAACAAAGGACATATATAATAGATGAGAATAGAATTCATGACAAAATTATGTTTTGGTGATGATGATGTGTTTGTCAATCTTACTTTACTGAACATTCTTGCTATTTTGATTTTCTCTATCTATAATGAACTTGGCTCAGTAGTTTCAAAGGAAAATATTTTGTAAAAGTTTACAAAAATTTACATAATTTACGAAAATTGTTTAAAATTTACTATAAAAAGCAATAACTCCTTATTGACCGTTTTGGTCAAGTTGACTTATTTGTAGATCTTACTTTGCTATACATAATTGCTGTTTACAGTTTATCTTTATCTAAGATAATATTGAAGATAACCAAAAACTGAAAAATTTTCTTAAAATTACCAATTCAGGGGCAGGAACCCAACAACAGGTTGCCTGATTTGTCTGACAATTTCAGGGCAGTTAGATCTTGACTTAATGAACACATTTTTATGAATGAGATTTGCTCTAAATGCTTTGAATTCAGAGATATTAGCCAAAAATTGCATTTTACCCCTATATACTATTTTTAGCCATGTCGGCCATCTTGGTTTGTGGACGGGGTCATTGGACACATTTTTAAAACTACATACCCTTAAGATGATGATTGCCAAGTTTGGTTAAATTTGTCAAAGTAGTTTCAGAGGAGAAGATTTTTTTAAAAGATTACTAAAATTTTTGAAAAATGGTTAAAAATTGACTGTAAAGGGCAATAACTCCTTAAGGGGTCAACTGACAATTTAGGTCATGTTGACTTATTTGTAGATCTTACTTTGCTGAACATTATTGCTGTTTTCAGTTTATCTCTATCTATAATATTAATATTCAAGATTATAACCAAAAACTGCAAAATTTCCTTAAAATTACTAAATCGGGGGCAGCAACCCAACAACGGGGTGTCCGATCTGTCTGAAAATTTCAGGGCACATAGATCTTGACCTGATAAACAGTTTAACCCCCATGTCAGATTTGCTCTTAATGCTTTGGTTTCAGAGATATAAGCCAAAATCTACATTTTACCCCTATGTTCTATTTTTAGCCATGGCGGCCATCTTGGTTAGTTGGCCGGGCCATCGCACACATTTTTTAAACTAGATACCCTGATGATGATTGTGGCCAAGTTTGGTTAAATTTGGCCCAGTAGTTTCAGAGGAGAAGATTTTTGTAAAAGTTTACGGACGCCAAGTGATGAGAAAAGCTCACTTGGCCCTTCGGGCCAGGTGAGCTAAAAATAGGCACGTAAACACTGTATAATAATACTTTGCTTTGGGGTAGACATCAACCTGAACCATTGATCTTTTGATTCTTAAACCTTCACCCCAGCCACACAAACACACACACAGTCGATGCCTAATGCAGAAGTTCTGTTCTGTTCATACTATCGTAACAATATTCAAGAAATTCATATTTTCTTATATCCTCTACTGTAAAATCCCTACCTGCTTAGGAATTTGAATTAATGTGGTCATTACACGCAGATCTTAGATTACTGGAAGATAGTTGATTGATTTATTGCTAAACATCCAGTGCAAATAGTTTTGCATGATCAGGACAAAAACAAATTTACGATACTAGTAAATACAACAGTTAGCCACTAGGTCCTGTAATAGGGGTCGTCCAGGATGAAGGTCTGAACTTTTGAAAATGCCATTGGAAAATTAGGGTTTATTGATCTTTATTGGATAGAGACAGATATTTTGCCTTTCAGCAGACCCCTCAAAGAGTTGTTGCAAGTGTTATTAGTGTGCAGAGAGCAAGGCAAAAATTTATTTGGACTATTTTAAGCTTAAGGCCCACAGAGGGTCAAGGGAAACGATTTCTAACTTTTTCGAACGAATCTTTTAACTCATTGGGGAAAAATTGGTTAAACAAATCTAAAATTTCTGAACTTTTATCAATAACTTTCAGATCCAGTTTCATACACAAAGTCAATGATACACTTATTCAAAGTCAAGTCAACGTTTTTTTTCTGCCAATAAAATCAGTTATACTCTCATCAGGTGGGTATGAAGAAGGGATAGATTAGAAAGTCGCTCATCTCCCATCTCAGGTAGGACTTGATGCGTCGCATCGCACTGAAGAATCTTTCACTAGTTACCAATGAAACGGGCATTGTCAATAAAATCAAAATAATCCTATGCACCAAGGGTACAGATCGGTGTTTGAATACGGACAGGCACCGTATAAATAATAATACGCATTAGAATTACAATGTGTATTTTTTTTTTTATTCCAAAGGGGTATATAATTGGCAAATTTATGTATAGGCACGTGCCTAATCGAGCCTTAGGTAGCTACACCACTGAATGTGGCAGCCAAGCGATGCATTTACTAATAAACTGTTATCACAGAGATATGTCTCGCCTTTTTGTAATTTTGATAATGCAAATGTTGAAATTAAAATAGCAATACTTTAATATGTAAGTTATGCAAATATTCAAAGTCAATGAACCATGACTGAAGGTACATGGCTAAACAATCTCCATGGAATGAGATGTGCCAATGCTAATACAACTGCATACCAAATACCATTGACTTATTATAAGGTGTTCCCTTTAAACAAACTTAAAACAAACATTAACTTGTAAACTATGTAAAAGTTTCAAAGTCAATAAACCATGATCAGGGATGGGATTATATAATCTCCATGGAAACAATACTTGCAAATGCCAATACATTTGCATACCAAATATCATTGACTTAACATTAGCAGTTCATTTTAAACTGATCTAATCACAAACTAATACATGTAAACTATGCAAAGGTTTCAAAGTCAATAGACCATGACTGAGGGGGCGGGGCCAAATATTCTCCATGGAAATGAGATGTGCTAATGCTTATACAACTGAACACCAATTAACATTGGCCTACCACTAATGGTTACCCTTGAACTGACTTAATCACAAACTACAATGTAATACATGTTAACATAGCAAAATTCTCAAAGTCTATAGACCATGACTAAGGGGGCGGAGCCAAATAATCTCCATGGAAATGAGATATGCCAATGCTTATACAACTGCATACCAAATATCATTGACCTACCACTACTGGTACCCCATAAATTGACCTAATCACAAACTAATACATGTAAACTATGAAAAGTTTCAAAGTCAATAGACCTTGACTGAGGGGGCGGGGCCAAATAATCTCCATGGTAATGAGATGTGCCAATGCTAATACATCAGCATACCAAATATCATTGACCCTCCACTAGTGGTTCACCATGAACTAGACCTAATCACAAACTAATACATTGTTGACGCCGCCGACGCCGGAAACAGCATACCTATGTCTTGCTTTTTGACTCAGTCAAGGCGAGACAAAAATGAGTGCAAATGATTGGCATAAAAGACTAACATTGTTAGGCATAATGAATAATATACAGAATTCAATATTTCACAAGGAACAACCATGGAATTAAGGAAAACTGGGTAGCAATGTTCAAGTGCCCGGTATATGGTTTAGCAAAAATTAACACCCAGCGGCTATGGGTTTTGTAACCACGTGTGTTAAACAATCAAAATCCTATTGTATACTGAGCCAGGGATAACTTCTTACATAGATATAGGAAGATGTGGTATGAGTGCCAATGAGACAACTCTCCATCCAAGTTACAATTTATAAAAGTAAACCATTATAGGTCAAGGTACGGCCTTCAACACGGAGCATTGGCTCACACCGAACAGCAAGCTATAAAGGGCCCCAAAAAATTACTAGTGTAAAACCATTCAAACGGAAAAACCAACGGTCTAGTCTATATCAAAACGAGAAACACGTATGAACTACATAAACAGACGACAACTACTGTAATCAGATTCCTGACTTAGGACAGGTGCAAACATTTGCAGCGGGATTAAACGTTTTAATGGTACCAAACCTTCTCCCTTTTCTGAAACAATAGTATAACATCACAACATAGAAAAACACACTATAAAATATCAATTGGAAGGCTTAACTCAATCAAAAAACGTAAATTCACACATAATGAACGAATAAATTTGACCTGTGACACCTGAATGCAAATACACAGTTAATAAAAAATTACAAGGGATAAATAATTAAAGTCAAAAGTAAATAAACAGGGCCACACTTAAAAATATTTTGGTTTGCCCAAACCCTACCCAAAGGCAGAGACAGTGGGTAGGTAGGTAGGCATTTTCTTTTCTTTTTTCGGCAACGAGAAATTAAAGTGTCAGATGTTTTTTTATAATCTTTATGCCTATCTAATTAAAAAAAACTGTTTCACATCAGGACAATAAAAGATTTTGAGTAGGCAGCTATTTTCTGGGTAGGTAGGGTTAGGGCAAACACACATATTCTTTTTTATGGCCCAGGTTTAAACAAAGTTAAAGTATGATATCACTGTTATATCTATTTACAGGCTAGTGATACAGCAGTTTCACTACTTACACCATTCAGCCACCGAGGCCCCATTATGGCAGATCCAGGGGAGGGTTGCTGGGGTTGGAACCCCCCCTTTTTTTAACAATCAATGCATTTGAGGTCATATAGTTCTCTTACTTTAGATTGCCTTAACTAAATGGTATGAAAGTTATAATACACAATACTTATTACCACAAAACTCAGTTCAATTACAAATTTGGGTAGCATCACTTTTACCATTCTTCATGATCAGTTATGTCCCTTTATGCCAATATGTTTTTTCAGTAAAATACAAATCTATACAGTAGGGTCAAAATATTGACCCTAGAAACTGATGAGTATAATACCAGGTAAAATATGGAATTTATGAATATTAGTCCAATAGTCTATGTAGAATATGGAAAATGAATAATAAAAAATATATCTTGAAATTACTCCTGAATTTCAAATGGCAATTGTTCATAAAACATGTAAACCATAATGCCAAAGAAGTATAAGACCTATGTCTTCTTTTTGTTTGTGACAATGCAAACATTCTATAGCCAATGTCAATGAATTAAGACTGAGATGTAGGGTTAAATAATTTCCACGAAGACAAGAAATGCCAATGCTAATCATTCTTATACAATTTTATACCAAAACTACCATTCATTGACTAAAATTTATAAGCGGTTCCCTCTAAACTGGATAAAGCACAAACTTGAACCTATATTAATTTTTTAATTACATTTTTCTGATACTAGCGTTTCATAGATTATGAACTATGATGAGGGAACAGTACAATATAATTTCCATAGAAATGAGATGAGCAAATGCTTATAGCATGTATAGGATTGCATACCAATATATTTAACAGAAAAATTTCGATCTGATCTGGAAATTTGAGTGAAAATACAAGAACGCAAATGTTTCTATTTCTATTCAATAACTGGTCGTCTCCTGTGTAACAACTTTTTATATGAAGAATCTGCAGATGGTTTGTTGCAAAGCAAATTTTATTGCCACCACCACCTATCTTTTGTCCATAGTTCCTCCCCTCTCCAACAATTTTTACAAAATTTTTAGAAGCTAATTAAGTTATTTACATCGATTAACATTTTATATCATCTTGAATATGCATTAAACATTTGCCACATAACAGTAATTAAACAAGCAATATCTAAGCAGATGTATAGCTGAAGATATGGTATGGGTTTTGCTCATTGTTGAAAGCCATAGTAACATACCATTGCTTAAATCTGCAATATTTTGACTCTCAGGGATAGTTGTCTCATTGGCAATCATAGTGCCACATCTTTTTTATTTATGACTATTGATAAAAATCAACCGATCAAGTCTCCTACCTGTAAACTTGGATTAAATCTTCTGTGATGAATGACCTCTCCTTTATATCAATTTCAAAATTCATAACTGCTTCTCCTTATGTCAATCATTGGCTCTCTTCAAATATCCTTTCTATGCATTTAACCATGAAGATTCTTCATTTGATTCATTTACTAATACAAATTTCCTGCAAAACATAAAAACATGTCAATTAGGATAAACAAATAGGCATATTATTTTTAGAATATTTATACAAAACTGAGTAGTTTTGGTAGTATAATAAAAATAAACACATCAGATACTGACCCTGCAATTTTAATAATCAGTACAAAGAAAGATAACTCTGTTCATTTAAGATGATTGATTGATTGATTGTTGGTTGCTTAACGTCCAGTGGCAAATATTTCATGCATATTCAGGACGAGAACAAGTTCACAATAAATAAAATAGGTAGGTTCTGTAATAGATTAAGGGATTAAGGTCGGAGAAATTTAGACTGCCACGGGAAATGAGGGTATATTGGATAGGGACAGAAATTTAGCCTTGCAACAGGTCACCTACGGACCCCTCAAAGAGTTGTTGCAAGGGTTCTTAACGTGCAAAGAACGTGGCACTTTCTTTACACAAGGCATCGGATTTAACGTCCCCATTCTGACCGGACGTGGCTGCATATTTGTACATCCCGCACAGCCAAACTGACGCCCCACTTTAGCATGGGTTTTACTGCCGGTCGGAGGAAGACCAATGGTGACCATACTTCTATTCCCCAGTCACCCTTGGGGGGACATTTAAGATGACAATATCAACGAGATGGCTCTAGGGAGTGTGTTGGTTTGTGCAAACTTGTCATATAAGGGCAATCACGATTTTGGCAAAATTTGACATATTTGTAGATCTTGTCTTGCTGATCATTTTTGCTATTAAAGTGGCTTTCTATCTATAATAGTTAAATGTAAATTATTATTATTGTTTTTCAGAAAAGGAAAAAAATGATAAAAGTCATCATTAAACAGTCAATAACTCTAATAATGAGTAGCTTTAAATTTCGTTCAAGTTTGACTTGTTTGTAGATATTGTCTTGTTGATCATTTTTGCAATTTGAAGTTTCTTTAAGCTATAATGTTTAAAGGGGCGGATCCAGCAATTTCAAAAGGGGGGAGGGGGTGTCCAAACCCAGGATAAAAAGGGGGAGGGGGTTTCCAACCATATGTCCCCATTCATTTACATTAAATGTCCAAAAAAAAAAGGGGGGGTCCAATACATAATTACTTTTAATTTTTTTGGCAATAACCGAGATATTCAAATATTGTTTGGCATAAATTCTTATAAAATGATTCTTCAGACTTATCTGATTGAACCAATATTTTATAAATATGTGCTTTTGTGTTTCATAATAATCTTTCATTTGAACCTTTTATTCTGAAATCATTCATTTGAATCTTTTATTCTGAAATCATTCATTTTGACCATTCATACAAAATCATTAATGTAATACATTCATATCAGTATATTAGAAGGCATGTGAGGTATTAATTATGGAACACTGACCTTATTTGAAAAAAAATCAAAGATGTCCATCAAATTTGAATAAAATTATATAAGGAACAGCACAGCTCCAATCAGTTCAAAATATAAGTAAAGTCTGACTAAACAAAAGAATTTCCCTCCTAAATAGACACATGACTTAATGAACCAATTATCATAAAGGAGATAGAGTTTTCATAGCACAAACTAGTTAAACCTAGGGAGTAAACTAATACTCAGTGGATCAAAATTCACTGAGCCATGAAGAAAGAAGTCTTACAATAAATAAAACCACTGATGCATGACTAGAAACTACTCATTAATTACTTAGAATTAAATTTACTAAAATCTGATGTAAAATATAAAAATATCAAAGTATGATACACAAAACAGTATCCAAATTAACATACTACATGTAGTTACCATGGTTACTTGTTTGATTAACATTCAGTGGCAATAACATTTAAATGGAGTACTTCTGAGTTTTCCCCCCAAAAAAACCAAACATTTTCTTTTGAATATTAAAAAAAATATCTGAAGATTTTGTTTTGGTGATTATTTTGTGAATCTTGTCCTCATAATTATTTCTGCTCTGAATTTTTTTATTGGCCCTGCCGCAGTTGAGGGGGCATTAAGTTTTACCCTTGTCTGTCTGTACGTACGTACGTCCCAAAATTGGTTTCGGTTTTCTAACTTTAGTTTGCCTAAACCAAATGTTATGAAACTTGAACACAATGCTTATTACCACAAAACACAAGACAAGTTTGAATTTTGGTGGCATCACTTTTACCATTCAAGAGTTATGCCCCTTTAAAAATGAAAAAAAATGCTGAATTTTTTGTTCCGTTCTCCCACTGAATCAGTTTGACTCAAACAAATGATATGAAACTTATACACAATGCTCATTACCACAAAACACAGATTGAGTTTGAGTTTTGGTGGCGTCACTTTTACCGTTCAAAAGTTATGTTTTTTTTACAAATAGAAAAGTTGCTGAATTTTTTGTTTCCAACTTCAGTTTGTCTCAACTAAATGTTATGAAATGTATATATAATGCTTATTACCACAAAACTCAGTTTAAGTTCAAATTTTGGTAGCGTCACTTATACAGTTAGTGAGTTATGTCCCTTTAACGTTATATGCTAGCGGGGACATCATCTGGGTCCCTATGGACACATTCCCCATTTATTTTATCTTTTATGCATTTGATTTGTTTTATTGTCTCATACAAGAATATATATGGTATCGGGTTGGGGATCTTGACCATTTACAAGTTTTCAAAAAGAAGGGGGGTGGGGGTTACCCCAGGGGACTTTCCCTCAATTTCATTTGATTTGTTTTATTGTCCCATTCAAGAATATATATGGTTTAGGGGTGGGGATCTCGACTGTTTACAAGTTATCAAAAAGAAGGGGGGTGGGGGTTACCCCCATGGACTTTCCCTATATTTCATTTGATTTGTTTTATTGTCCCATACAAGAATATATATAGATTAGGGGTGGGGATCTCGACCATTTACAAGTTCTCAAACAGGAGGGGTGGGGTGACCCCAGGGGACTCGCCTTTTACTTCATTTGATTTGTTTTATTGTCCCATACAAGAATATATATGGTTTCGGGGTGGGGATCTTGACTGTTTACAAGTTTTCAAAAAAAGGGGATTGGGGGTGACCCCTCTAGACTTCCCCTATATTTCATTTGATTTGTTTTATTGTCCCATACAAGAAAATATATGGTTTTGAGGTGGGAATCTTGATTGTTAACAAGCTTTCAAAAAAAAAGGGGGTGGGGGTTTCCCCAGGGGACTTCCCCTCAATTTCATTTGATTTTTTTTATTGTCCCATTCAAGAATATATATGGTTTAGGGGTGGGGATCTCGACTGTTTACAAGTTATCAAAAAGAAGGGGGGTGGGGGTTACCCCCATGGACTTCTTCTATATTTCATTTGATTTGATTTATTGTCCCATACAAGAATATATATGGTTTCGGGGTGGGGATCTTGACTGTTTACAAGTTCTCAAAAAGAAGGGGGTGGGGGTTACACCCATGGACTTCCCCTATATTTTCATTTGATTTGTGTTATTGTCCCATACAAGAATATATATGGTTTAGGGGTGGGGATCTCGACTGTTTACAAGTACTCAAACAGGAGGGGGTTGGAGTGACCCCAGGGGAATCGCCTTTTCCTTCATTTGATTAGTTTTATTGTCCCATACAAAAATATATATGGTTTCAGGGTGGGGATCTTGACCATTTACAAGTTTTCAAAAAGAAGGGGGGTGGGGGTTACCCCATGGGACTTCCCCTCAATTTCATTTGATTTGTTTTAATGTCCCATTCAAGAATATGTATGGTTCAGGGGTGGGGATCACGACTGTTTACAAGTTATCAAAAAGAAGGGGGTGGGGGTTACCACCAGTAACAAAACACCAAAATAATTCTCTAAAATTAGATATGACTTAATCACTCATAAATCTCTAAAATTAGATATGATTTTATATCTATCAATTAAACACATCATTTTTCAAAACAAATAACTCAAACTTATTTACATAAACCAATAAAAAACCAGCAAAATACTTCTCTAAAATCAGATATCATGTTAAATCTATTTCCATATATATTATAATCAAATTTAATTAATAGTGGTTAATATTGTTTCTTTCATGTGTCAAAAAATAATACAGATCTGCAACTTATCAATGTCAAAAACTTTATCTCATAATAAAAATAGATTATTATCTAATTAAAAACAAGTTTAGATTCAGCACTTAAAGAACCCTATATATATTTAATTTATGTTCAAATATAACACACAAAAACTGATTAATTTTCCTATTTTCCTAGGGGACCTGCCCTTTATTTCATTTGATTTGTTTTTTTGTCCCATACAAGGATATATATGGTTTAGGGGCGGGGATCTCAACCATTTAAGAGTTCTTAAACAGGAAGAAGGTGGGAATGACCCCAAGGAACTCACCTTTTATTTCATTTCATTTGTTTTATTGTAACATACAAGAATATATATGGTTTCGCGGTTGGGATCTTGACCATTTACAAGTTCTCAAAAAAAGGAGAGTAGGGATTACCCCAGGGGACTTCCCCTAAATTTAATTTGCTTTATTTTATTGTCCCATACAAGTACATATATGGTTTAGGGGTGGGGATCTCAACCGTTTACAAGTTTTCAAAAAGAAGGGGGTAGGGTTTACCCCCGTGGACTTATCCCTATATTTCATTTGATTTGATATATTGTCCCATACAAGAATATATATGGTTTCTGGGTGGGAATCTTGACCGTTTACAAGTTATCAAAAAAAAGGGGGGTAGGGGTTACCCCAATGGACTTCCCCTATATTTCAATCAGAAAACAGTAAATTTTCAAATGAATCTGTCACTCCAATGATTATCATATGCTGAAATATTTCAAAGATCTAATTAATAATGAAAATAAATCATTATCATATGCTGAAATATTTATAATATCTAATTGAACAGAACTATGGTTGTTTAACATAGTACTCTAACGTAATTATTGCGAACCCAATGAAAGTTTTCCACAGTGCCATCTCTATCTTGACCAGGTATTTAAACTTTTGCAAGTTCACCTGTCCTATTGAATGAATACAATAGCTATTTTTCTCTGTGTAGTTTATTCACTGG